GGGAAAACATTTTACACTGAAAATATTGGGCAAGGTAGACAAATACTTGGGGGTGCAGATCACGAAAACAAGCAAGGGTTTTCAACTGTCACAGAAGGATAAAATTTTGGAACTAATACATAAATGCAACATGACAAGCGCCAAGGGATGTGAAACGCCAATGCAACCAGATTTCTTGAAGGACATGTATAATGAGGCTGAGGCGTTCAAGGACAACACATTATACAGATCCACCATAGGCTCCCTACTGTACATTGCTCACTGGACCAGGCCAGACATCGCTCTGCCAGTTAACTTGCTATCAAGACATGTGGGCAAGCCCACCGTGTACCACTGGGAGGCCATCAAAAGGGTATTAAGGTATCTAAAGCAAACTTCCGAGGCTTGCCTGTCATTAGAGCCCGAGAACACCACAACACCCACACTCACGTGCTATGCTGACGCTGACTGGGCTGGGGACATGAAGTGCAGAAAGAGCACTTCGGGTTACATATTCTTTCTAAACAACAGCCCAGTTCATTGGTATACAGGCAAGCAAGACTTGGTAGCCACATCCACCACGGAGGCTGAATATATCTGTTTATCCAAAGCCGCCAACAACCTGGTCTGGTTTGATGACCTGCTCGCTGACATATGGGCCGAGCCAAACTACCCCATCATCATGCACGAGGACAATAAAGCTGCCATGGAAATATCTAAGGCTGAAGCGGTGGGTCAAAGGTCGAGGCATATTGACATAAAGTACAAGCACGTTAGGCAGTTCGCGAACATAGGAGTTGTGAAAGTTATACACTGTGACACAGAAGAGCAAACAGCAGACATTCTAACAAAGCCATTGCAAAATAAACGGCACACGTATCTCACATCAAAATTAGGCGTCCTCCTGAAAAGGACACCTCAGGTACACACCACACAAAAATATCTCGGCCAGGCATTTAGAGGGGGTTTTGTCATGAATAAATGCCTTGCCTCTGACCCAGAGCTAGAAGCAGGGGGGCTGGACAAGCCAGCCCCCAAGGTCCATCCTAACCCAATAACCCCTCCTTACCTTAGCCACGCCCCGGGGGTACTTAAGGGTCAGCCATGCGGTCCTGCTCCAGTTCCAGACTTGTACCTGTAACGATAAGATGTACAATTAATAAACAGCAATTGATTTAATGCGAACCTGTCTATGGAGTTATTGGGCACGATCCTCAAACACAATTAACACTGATGATATTGGGTAATGAAACATCTGCAAGAAAACAGCCAAGCTCAGAGAGCACCAAGGACCCTTCATTTCAACCCTGAGCTCCAATACTCTCCATTATTGATAATGATGCCCATACAAATTCCTCAGTGGAGCAGCAGGTCAAGAGAACATAAAGGAAATACACACACACAGGTAGTCCTCACTTAATAACTGGTTGCATAACAACCGTTTAAAGTTACAATGGACTCATAAAAAGTTATTTATGAACTCTCCTTGAAGCTATGACTGTTGCACATAGACCCCATAGTCATGTGATTACATTTCAGGCACCTAACAACCAACTTGCATTTGTGACCGGTTGTACTGGTGACATGACCATGTTTTGTGAAGGTTTTATTGCCATTTTCCAGCAGAAAATGGCAAAAATGCCTATTGAGTATGCAGGGTTCGTTTAACAGCCATGGGATTCACTTAACAACTATAGTGATTAGTTTAATGACTTTTGTAAAAAAAAAAAAAAGTCATAAAATCAAGTTGGGTCATGTAGTCACCTTCTTAACAACTATAATGACTTATGACCAAACATGCAGGCTCAGTTGAAATCTGGTTTAGTGAATAAACTTAATGAAGAACAGATTTTCAAAACTATTTGCCTAGTATTCATTTTTTTAATAAGGACCCTGGAGAGAAATAGAAGAATCTTACATTAGGGCTCAGTTTGTCCAGGGAAATGCAGAATCTTCTGGCTGTCTGATGACCCACATCTGTAGAAATGCATGAGTGCCAGAATTTAAGGGTAAGGGATGAAGAACATAGTTACTCATCCTTCCCTTCCCTTCTCTTCCCTTCCCTTCCCTTCCCTTCCCTTCCTCTCTCTGTTATTCATTCCTTCCCGTCACATAAGCTTCTTAGTAGGCTTGGGAAGAAGAGTGAATTAGAGGCTAATGGAAGAGTAGAAGTTTGAAGGGCTGTTCAATTCTTCTAAAAAAAATCATTTGATTATAGATCTAAAACTATGCTTAAATTTAGTTTTTGTTTTGAAGTTTCCCTTGGTCCAATCCCAGCAATATCTACATAATCCTCAGAACTACTCTAACTTCTTTGATGTTTACAAAGAAATATGTACTGTTTTCTACTTAACATATATTTTATTGGGAGAGGAATGCAAAGGATAGAGAACAGCTTACAGATGATACTGTGCCTGATATGAAATCCCATCAATATTTTCATTTTTTTCTAAAATGGATTTGCTTCATATTTTTTTTGTCAGTTCTCATATAAATAGATAGATGGATGCATCCGTGGGACACAAACTGATTTGTGTTTAGTATATATATATTATTGAAATATATGCAAATAGTGGAAGAAAACGGGCATTGCTTAATTAGAACAATTTCTGAACTTGTCTCATTTCTGAGAGAAGCTAACTCCATCATCAAAGATCTCCCTCTCCAAAGTCCATCTTTGCTTCTTGGTCCATTTCCTCCAGCTCCTTTACAAATCTCATTTCAAGCCTTGACAAGAGAGGGAGATCAAAACAGAGGAAAATTACATCTTGCCATTATTCTTCATTGATGATCAAGTGTTCAAGATTGCCAAGATTGCAAATTTAATAGAGAGGGCAAACTAACATTCTTCTATTATTGCAATATCTTTTGGAAATACAAATCAGAGAAAGTTGAACTATGCAGCTTGCAACTTTATTGTCCAACTTCTGATCCAATATATTGCACAATTCCACCTTCAGGATTGCTTTCATGGATTACCTCCAGACTAAGATTCTCTTTGCCAGCAGGTTCAGCTTCAAAGAATGATTTCAGGTAAGATGGCACTGAAGTGAGATGAAATTTAAGTCTCCATGAAGATGAGATTTAAATCTCCATAAACAGCCAGATACTATCAGTGGTAGCTCAGAGGTAATATGTTACTCTTAGAAGTTTGTGTGTTTTTAACTCCTGCATCAGAGGCTGCTTCCTCATAAAATTGAGACACTATATGTGACTCCTGGACTGGAAATTACAAAAACCAACTTTAGATGTCGGTTTGTTTGTTTTTTTCCTGAGTTCAACTACCAAGATTGATGGATTGATTCACTAATTCACTCTATGAAAAGTTGATTTAAAAAAAATAATAATTCAGAAGGTATCAACTGGGTCATAATGTAGTGAAGATGTTAGTGGCTCAGGGACCTTAGTTTACAATGATTACAACTGTGCTAATAGATCTGTAAAGGATGTCAATCTATTACTGAATCCAGTTCAAGAAGCTCATATTTGTAGAAAGTAAGTAAGATCTCCTTCAAGTTTTTTTTAACTCCTAGTGGCTTCACAGATATAAAGATAAGAGATTTCTCATCCACATTTAAATAAAGCAGAAGTGCTGATAAGTCTTAAGCATTTTAGGATAATTGATGTTTTAAGTGGGATTTAATTTCCACCCATAATTACATTGCACCATTATTATTTCGACAGTACAAAGACAGTCGTGAATGTAACATTCAGATCAACATACATAAAATAGAAGTGTATTAGCTCTTAAATCAGAACTAGTGGAATAGAAGACACAAGTTTGTGCTGCTTTTTTATTCAATAATGGTCTTGGAAATTAAAGCAAAACACCACATCCCATTACAGTATGGTGTTTGACTTGAATAAACCTCATTCAGAAGTTTCATAATTAAGGAACATGCTGGTCAATCAAAGGGGCTACCAGAAATTTTAGAAAGGACAAAAAATGGTAAGTTCTTAATTTATTTCTAGCCATCAACTCCATCCCGTATCTTTTATTTTCAGTTCTTGCATTCTTCCTCCAGATTCTTCCATGGAAGCCACCTTTTCCATTTGCTGTTCAGAGGAGAAGACAAGGACTCACATGAAAAAAAAAAGATCAGGATTTTTTTCCTCAAACAAAATGGTTTTTTTCCCCCACCTCTTATCTTTAGGTTGCTATCAGATCACTTTTTTCTTCTTCTGAGCCCTTAACAACTCTCAGATCCTCTCTGTGGTGTAGTAGATAAGTTGTGGGACAAAGATTTTAGAGATCCAGGTTTTACTCTTGATTCTTCTCTCAACGTACCTCACTGAGAACTTGGGGGAATGGAAGAAGGGAATGTTATGTATTTCCTTTGCAGCTCCTAGAAGAAAGTTTGGGAGTTCACATAAAAGTGTTAATGCCACTTTATAATGCCTGGATAAGACCACACTTGGAATATGGCATCCAGTTTAGATTATGGGATGTTGAGATTGTAGAAAAAGTGCAGAGAAGAGCAACAAAGATGATTAGGAGGCTGGTGGATAAAATATTTGAAGAACAGTTGCAAGAATTGGGTATGTCTAGTTTAATGAAAAGAAGGACTAGGGGTGACATGATAGCAGTCTTCCAATATCTCAGGGGCTGCCACAAAGAAGAGGGAGTCAATTTATTCCCCCAAAACATCTGAAGGCAGGACAAGAAGCAATGGATGTAAACTAACCAAGGAAAGAAGCAAGGAGAAATTTCCTGACAGTTAGAACAATTAATCAGTAGAATGACTTGCCTCCAGTTGTGGGTGCTCCAATACTAAAGGTTTTTAATAAGAGATTGGACATTTGTCTGAGATTGGACAGACATTTGTCTGAAATTTTATAGGGTCTCCTGCTTGAGCAGGGGATTGGCCACCTGGCTAGGTGGCTCAATGGCTAAGACACTGAGCTTGTCATTCAGAAAGGTCAGCAGTTCGAATCCCTAGTATAGGTCTCCTCTGGGAACAGGGGGTTGGACTAGATGACCTCCAAGGTTCCCTCCAACTCTGTTATTCTATTATTCTGAGTTACACAGGTAGGCTGAGAGTTCAGAATCTGCTTTTCTTTCTCAACAGCTGAGTGCCAAGTTCTTTCAACATAGTTTCTTTGCAGGTGAGACCCTCAACTTATATCACATCTATTCAGACCCTCATCTCACGTCACATCCATTCATAGACTTTCTCCATGGTACAAGTAAGAGGAAACATTTGGTCTCAGTTTGAAAGTTTGAATAATTAATTCAGTTTGAATTAATGAATAATAAGTTGCTGATTTAAAAGAGAGATAGTGTAGTGGCCAAAATTGTGGAAACCTTTTGGGAAAAGTGTATTTTCTAAAACTAGCTAATAACACCACTTTTTTGGGGAGTAATACCATAAAATTATATATCAATGGGAAGATAATTTAATCAAGAATGTAATGCAATAACTTTTCTATTGAAGGAAGGATTTTCTATTAGAATAGCAGTTACAATATAAAGAAGAAAAATGAAACATAGAAAAAACGAGATATACAAAAATTATCACCATGTCAGTTAATAATTGGGTAACCTTTAGCATGAATTACAGCCTTACAATGTCTTCCCATGGAGTGAACCAAGTATTTTAGTTCTGCAGCTGTTATAATGTGAAACCAAGATTGAATGATTGCTTCTATTAACTGGGGTTTATTGCTGTCGCTTCTGACTAACAAGTTTCTTTAGTCGGCTCCAAAGATTTTCAGTTGGCTTAACGTCTGGGCTATTCCCAGGCTATTCCAGCAGTGGAATGATTAACTTGAAATTCCCCCCCAAAAAAGTTGTGTTATTAGCCATCAAAACCCAAAAATACACTTTTCCCAAAAGGTTTCCACAATTTTGACCACTACTGGCCAAAACTGCATACAGTTGTCTGTGATGAAAGAGTGCTACATTGGTGACAACTGAATTTTGTCTATTTTTAAACTTCTATTGTCTAATGATCTGGACCTTGAAAGGTATAGATCATTAGAGAGAAAAGGTACAGTATATTTTTATTGAGTTATTGAATCCATTTGTATACCATGTTCCACATTTAAAATGTCTAATGCAGCTGTCCCCAATCTTAGATCCCACAAATACATTGAATCAGCATTCCAGGTGGGGAGTTATAGTCTGTCAGTTATGGAGGGCACCTGATCGGGGAAGGTTAAGATAGACATTTTCCTGGACAGTGTGAAGTGCTAGAAAATGTTAAAGGATCACCTTCTCTTAAAACTAACAGTGATGTAGTCTCTGTAACTAATGATAATGTCTGACTCTTGGTGATTCTATGGGCCCGGTCTCCCCTCATCTTCCTTCTCCTAACAAGTGCCTGTCACCGTTTGGCTGCAGCACCTCCCCCAACCCCCCCCTCTTTTCAGGGAGGCACGATCAGGTACAGGGGAGCTTCCACCACTTCCCTTCCTTCTCCCAACAAGCATTTGGCTTCCCTAAAGCCATTTGGCTGCAGCACCTCCCCCAACCCCCAACCCAGTGGTGGGTTCCTCCCGGTTCAGTCCGGTTCGGCCGAGCCGATAGTGGTGACGATATGACATCACCGAACCGGTTCTCCCTCCCTCCCACCCCCCACCCCCCCACATTATTCTTACCTTTTATTTGGTCTCATCCCCAATCTATTGCTGCCTCCTGAGTCCCAGCTGATGACTAGAGGGAAAAAAACTGTTTAAACTCTTGCCGCGGGGCTTCAAAGGGCCGTCCTACAGCTGATCGGTGTTAAAAGCAAACAAATTAGTTGGGTCGTAAGTGCGAAGACTGGTCGTAAGTGCGAGGACCTTCCAGAAATGACTGATCAGCTAGCCAGGCCCACCTAGTCACATGACCTCCAAGCCACACCCACAAAATAAGCCACGCCCACAGAACTGGTAATAAAAAAAATTAGAACCCACCCCTGCCCCAACCCCTGAGATCGATCGCACCGTGGCTTCTGGCTGCTGGTATTGGCAGCTAGCTGATTGGTTGGTGGCTAACTGTCCCAGGTGGCGAAAAGCCCAGGATGAAACCTGGGAATGGGCTGCACCAAAGTGTGTGGGATGGAGGGGCCATGGCCCACTGACCAGGTTGAATAAATGGGGGTGTGTCAACTGAGGAGAAAAGCTAGAGGTGAATCCCCAGAGGAAGAACCCTGGCGGAGAAGCGGGCGCAGCCAAGGGTAGGAGCTGAAAAGTCTTAGATGGTATCCAGCCACCATGTTCCTTGACAGCCTGGTTTCCTTTTACCATTAACTCTTACAAACATAATTGCTTTATCCAGTGAATTTTCCTGCATGAGTAAGTGAGATGCAGTTTCATGATTTTTGCCTCCTAGTGATAGGTCTGGTATTATGCACTCCAGCACATGATTGTTGGTCACTTTTGCTGTCCAACAATGCAGCTAAAGAGGGTAGGAGATGACCAGGCTGAACTGGAGGGTGGGGTCAAATGTGTCATCAGTCATGACTTCTAGCCCACTTCGAATGCCTTTCTTAACTCCTGCTAATTTCCCTTGATCATTAATAGCTCAGTTTCAGCTTGCAATAAATTTTTATATTTATTTGAACTGCCCTAATCTCTTGATTTCTCTGGTGTTTAACAGGTAGCAATAACAGGATAGAACAATAAAGGTGGGAACTAACAATCCATATGGCCAATAAGAGTGAAAATAGAAATCTAATTGTCTTGTAAGGAGTCTTCGGAGAGGGGCGGCATACAAATTGAATTAATTAATAAATAAATAGATTTAATCTTGCTGGTTGGTCATTTTAGACACTGAAATCCATACTATCTGGAAGGATCCAGCTTGATAATAACTATTTCAGATTAAATTTCCTCCTAAGGAAATATTAATGCATGATTCCTAGGAAAACCAGACAGACTGTGAGAATCAACTGGGATTAAAAACCTACTGTTTCCAGGACTCCAGATTTATTTGGACTCACACAAAGGTTAAATGGAAAATATTAACACTGATTCCTTATAATTTGTATTCCTTTACAGGTATAAGGATGGAAAATGAAACGTATTCACCCGTGACTGAGTTTGTCCTCCAGGGATTATCACAAATCTGGGAATTTCGGATATTATTTTGTGTTCTTCTGCTGCTCTTCTGTATCATCGTTCTTCCTGGGAATATCCTGATTGTTGTGACAATTCTGCAGAATCCCTCTCTGAAATCTCCCATGTTTTTCTTCTTGGCCAACCTGGCCTTGGTTGATATCTTCTACAGCTGTGTCACCCATCCAAAGCTCCTCCTCAACATATTTTTTGGTTGCATGACAATCTCCTACTTAGGCTGTATCACTCAGATATTTTTCATCCATTTTCTAGGAGGAGCTGAGATGTTTCTTCTCTTTGCCATGGCTATTGACCGGTATGTAGCCATCTGCCATCCATTGCATTATGCCATGGTGGTAACCAGGGTCATTTGTTGGGCTATGGTAGTAACTTCATGGTTTGGAGGATTGATACATTCCATCATCCAGGTCATTTTCATCATTTTACTTCCATTTTGTGGCCCCAATGAGTTGGATAACTTCTTTTGTGATATCACCCAGATTATCAGATTAGCTTGTGCCAACATCTACACTCTAGAATTTGTCATGTTTTTTAGCAGTGGTGTGCCAAGCATTGTATGTTTCATTCTCCTTCTTATCTCCTATTTGGCACTGCTTATAAAACTGAGAATGGGCCCTAGTATAGGGAAAAGCAAAGCCTCCTCTATCTGCATCACCCATATCATTATCATATTCATCATGTTTGGTCCAGCCATCTACATCTATTGCCACCCTTTTCAAGACTACCCATTAGACAAAGTAGTGGCCTTTTTCCATGCTATGGTCTTCCCCTTGATGAACCCTGTGATCTACACCTTGAGGAACAAGGAGATCCAAACTGCCATGCGGAGACTGCTCATGAATATTAAAACTAGCAGATAAATAAAAATTTGATAAATTTTTCCCAAGAAGATTTTAAGTTGAAATCAAGGAAAAAAATTGGAGTTGAAAGGTTTTATATCAGGGGTGAAATCCAGCAGGTTCTTACAGGTTCTGGAGAACCAGTAGTGGAAATTTTGAGTAGTTCAGAGAACTGGCAAATACCACCTCTGGCTGGCCCTAGAGTGGGGTGGGAATGGAGATTTTGCAATATCCTTCCCTCAGGAGTGGGGTGGGAATAGGGATTTTGCAATATCCTTCCTCCAGGAGTGGGGTGGGAATGGGGATTTTGCAGTATCCTTCCCCTGGATGGGGTGGGAATGGAGATTTCCAGTATCCTTCCCCCAGGAGTGGGGAGGGAATGGGGATTTTGCAGTATCCTTCCCCTGGATGGGGTGGGAATGGAGATTTCCAGTATCCTTCCCCCCAGGAGTGGGGAGGGAATGGGGATTTTGCAGTATCCTTCCCCTGGATGGGGTGGGAATGGAGATTTCACAGTATCCTTCCCCCAGGAGTGGGGAGGGAATGGGGTTTTTGCAGTATCCTTCCCCTGCCATACCCACCAAGCCATGCCCACCAAGCAACACCACTCCCACCAAGCCATGCCCACAGAACCGGTAGTAAAAAAAATTGAATTTCACCACTGCTTTATATCTTTCCTTACTGTCAGTTAAACTGGGACATGATCAGTGAAGTAAAGAGAAGGATAGAGAAAGCTCGAACAGCATTTTTCAAAATGAAAAAGATCTGTACGACATAAGCCTAAGACTGAAAATCAGGCTTGTGAGATGCTACATCTTTTCTATCCTTCTCTACGGAGTAGAGAGTTGGTCTCTGACAGAAAACCACTTGAAGAAACTAGAAGCATTTGAAATGTGGATTTACAGACGGCTGTTACGTATAAACTGGGTTAACAAAATCACAAATGAGGAGGTGATAAGCCGCCTGGGAAAGCAAAAGGAAATCATCAAAGCCATTAAAAAATGAAAGTTAGAATATTTTGGACATGTGATGCGACACCCAGAAAAATATGGCATCCTTCACTTAATCCTCCAGGGAAAGATTGAAGGCAAACGAGGCCCAGGCAGAAGAAGAACATCATGGCTTCAAAACCTAAGGGACTAGTTTGGACAAAACTCAGCAGCACTTTTTCATACAGCTGTTGACAAAAATAGGATTGCCAACATGATCGCCAACATCCAATGACGGATGTCGGCACAAGAAAAAGAAGAAGACTCTCAGTTAACAGAAAGATTTAAGAGTGATAGGAAGGATTATGAGTCTGAAAAATGGTAAGACTGAATTAGATGTGGAACTGTGTGCAAATCATACATTACTGCTAAGATGGCTCAGTGGCTAAGACACTGAGCTTGTTGGTCAGAAAGGTCGGCAGTTCGGCAGTTCGAATCCCTAATGCGTGAGCAAGGGGTTGGACTAGATGACCTCCGAGGCAACTTCCAACTCTGTTACTGTTAAATGTCAAGATGTACAAACTTTTATTGAATGATTACAAAGTAGGCTCAGTGTTGCCTTTTTGCTAATTAATTCTAGTTTCCTGAAATGGTACTATATATCAAAACCGAAAAATTAAACTAACCATGTGTAGTGGGACAATCTGAATCATATAAAACCAAAGACATCACTAGAAGACAAAATGATAAGAGCAGTGGTGGGTTCCTCCCGGTTCCTCCCGGTTCCACCTGGTTCCGCCGAGCCGGTAGTGGTGACGATATGACATCACAGAACCGGTTCTGCCCCCACCCCACCCCCGCCCCCCTTCCCCCACCCACCCCCACGTTATTCTTACTTTTTATTTGGCCCCACCCCCAATCTATTGCTGCCTCCTGAGTCCCAACTGATGGCTAGAGGGAAAAAAAACTGTTTAAATTCTTGTGACGGGGCTTCAAAGGGCCACCCTACAGCTGATCAGTGTTAAAAGAAAGCAAATGAGTAGACCGGTGCCTGCAAAAATAAATGAGTAGACCGGAACAGCTCTGCAAGCAGTTAAAAGCCTGGTAGACCAGTACCTCTGCTAAATCCTAAATAATTGTTACATGACCATCAAGCCATGCCCACAAAATAAGCCACGCCCACAGAACCGGTAGTAAAACATTTTAGAACCCACCCCTGGATAAGCGTACATCTGATTTACGTTGGCCATGTCATGCCTGCAAATTCATTGCAGAAGTCAAATGATGCTAGGAATGGTTAGTGGAACAGGAAAAGGGGAAAGCAAAGAACAAGCTGGCTTGATAATGTCAAAACTGATACAAAGATGAACATCCAACAACTAAAAGATTCTGAAAGACTCCCTTCCAACTCTGTTATTCTATGTTAGTCTATTCTAAGTCAAAAGAAGAAAATAGAACAATTATTTTTTAAAAAGTGTAATATGGAAAGTTGTAAAAGTGTGCTACCAGATTTTCAAACCATCAAAAATAGCACAGTTTGTAATCAAGAACAGTATCAGGCAGTCATAGGAAGTCTGTTGTACTTATCAAAATGGTCAAGGCCAGATATTGCCAATTCAGTCAACATTTTAAGCCGTTACACATCAAAGCCTACATAACAACACTGGATACGAATTAAAAGAATACCAGGTTGTTTAAAGGGAAGCGGGGATTTAGGATTGCATTTATAACCATCAAATGAATTGGAATTGAAATATTTTGTAGACACTGATCGGGGTAATGATGTACAAGGTAGAAAATCAATGTCAGGATTTGTTTACAAACACACTTTTTGGTTGGAAATCTGGAAAATAGACTTCACTGGCCATTTCCACAGCTTAAGCGGAAGTTGGGCCCTGTATTTTAAAACACCTGTGGAGTATCGGCTAGAGAAAATCCTGTCTGATGAATAAACTTAATTCAGAATTGCTTTTCAAAAAAACTTTGTTTAGAATAAAGTTTTTAATAAGGTCCTTGGAGACCAGCGGAAGGAATCGTACTCAAGGGCCCAGTTTATCCAGGGACACCCACAATCTTCGGGCTTGCTCAAAGAACAAGTAATAGACTTGTGGAGATTAATAGGTACTTGATACTGAGAGCATAAAAGGTAAACTATCATTTTACCCATCCTCTCCTTTCCTCTCTTCCTCCAAGGCATCCAACTGTCCATCTCACTCACAATGGCTACTGGGCCTCAGAAGAAATGAGAACGAGACCTTGACCTAAGAATAAGGAAAGATATTCAGAGGCTGGATTCACTTTTTGTAAATCATGCTCAAGAGTCCTCTCTCTTTAATACCTTCTTTTCTCCCATTACTTTTATCTCTGCTCTCAAAGAAGAATGCATTGCTTTGTTGAAGCTATTTTCAATTACGTATTTAAGTAATTAACTAACCTAATTAACATCATAATAATAATAATAATAATAATAATAATAATAATAATAATAATAATAATAATTAACCTAGGAACATTTCCTCTTTCCAAACTTCTCAGTGGGGGTCTTGAGATGACATAGATTTCTATTAGACAGAAATGCAATGAACAGAAAACATCTCATAGAATCTGGGCATGTGTAACAATTTTTAATCTCCAAATCGAGGAGAAAACAAATAAACAACTAAGTGTTTTGATATCTGTAAAATAGGTTTATTATTATTATACAATTTCTTGCCTCTCTCCTTGTGACTAAATGGATAGATACTTAGAGGTTTCTGGTACTTCTGCTATCACCATGTTGAAACATAAAATTGGTCCTGAATTCAGAAAGTTTGTTTTATGGAAATAGATGCATTTGATGGGAGAAAAAGGGGGCTGCTAAGGCTGGCAGTTAGGAACCATATCTGAACTTCTCTTCCATCCAAGAATGTACGTTTAGTCCCAGCTAACTCTAATATCAAAAATCACTCTAAATTACATGTTTGCATCCCAGTTCTTTTTCTCTAGTTCCACTTCAAACCTCATTCTAAGATTGGGAGGGAGAGAAGGAGGAAGCAAGGAAATAGACTTCCAACTTTGAAGGGGTATTTTCTATGCTTGGTCTGACGGATGATTACTACCTTATCCTCAGGATAGCTAGCCAACCACCAATTTAAAAGAGACAACCAACCAACCAACAACCATAATATAATTCCTACTAGAAATTGCCCTGTAGAGAACAAGCAAAGTGAGAAAGAGAACATCATCTGAAAAAACTTAAGGTAAGACTTGGTGCGTTATTACAGCAATTTTATCTACTGATTGTATTCCATTTTCTATATCCATGTCCACTGCTGTTGTTTGATAATCTAATAATGTACATTTCAGGGATTGCTCTAATTCACATTATGAGTAGGGTAGCTTTTTTATGGGTAGGGCTGACTTGAGAAGCCAGCAATGCATCTCTTCAATGAAGGAATGGATATATTTTACATAAAACTGAGAAGGCCCATAGGGCACAATGACTTTTGAAAGATCTTTCCTTCCAGATAAATCCTGTAAGCAGAGCCACAAAAGATGTGTTTGAAACTAAATGCCTTTTAGTCCCAGCTAAATTTATGTCCCTTGCATTCTGGATATAAATTGTTTCAACTCCTACCCTCAAAACAACGTTATAGAGCACTGCACCTCAAGACAACTAGACACAAAAACAGTTTTTTCCATCACTCTACGCCAAGAACCCCATCACTCTGCTAAACAAATAATTCCCTCAACACTGTCGAACTATTCACTAAGACTTCATTTCTGTTACTATGAGTCTTCTCATCATTCCTATCACCCATCTCCTCCCGCTTATGACTGCATGACTGTCACTTTGTTGCTTGTATCCTTACGATTTATATTGATATTGTTTCCTGATTGTTTATTTGTACCCTATGACTATCATTAAGTGTTGAATCTTAAAGATTCTTGATGAACGTATCTTGTCTTTTTATGTACACTGAGAGCATATACACCAAAGACAAATTCTTTGTGTGTCCAATCACACTTGGCCAATAAAGAATTCTATTCTATTCTGTTCTGTTCTGTTCTGTTCTGTTCTGTTCTGTTCTGTTCTGTTCTAATCTAAGCTAATTCTAATATCAAAAATCACCTGTATTTGCACCCCCATTCTTTTTCTCCAGTTCCACTGCAAACCTCATTCTGAGATTGAGAGAGGGAGGGAAGGAGAGAGCAAGGAAAGAGACACCCAAATTTGAAGACAATATTTTCTGTTCTTCGTCCGGCTGATGATTCCTGGGAGATCACCCAGGATAGCTAGTCAACCTCAATTTAACAGAGATGACAAAGCAACAACCATAATATAATTCCTATTAGATATTGCACTGTAGGTAACAAAACAAAAATAGGAAGGTCAGGAGCAACATCAGGGAAGAACTTAAGGTAAGGCTTTATGTGTTACTATTATTAAAAACAGTTTTATCTACTGACATTACAGTAGTGGCCAAAATTATGGAAACCTTTTGGGAAAAGTGTATTTTTGAGGTTTGATGGCTAATAACACCACTTTTTTTGGGGGGGAGTTTCAAGTTAATTATTTTCCACTGCTGGAATGGCCTGGGAATAGCCCAGACCTTAACCCAATTGAAAATCTATGGAGCCGACTAAAGAAACTTGTTAGTCAGAAGCCACCCAGCAATAAAACCTAGTTAATAGAAGCAATCATTCAATCTTGGTTTCACATTATAACAGCTGCAGAACTAAAGACTTAGTTTACTCCATGGGAAGACATTGTAAGGCCGTAATTCATGCTAAAGGTTACCCAATTATTAACTGACATGGTGATAATTTTTGTATATCTCGTTTTTCTGTGTTTCATTTTTCTTCTTTATACCGTAACTGCTATTCTAATAGCAAATCCTTCATAAAAGTTATTGCATTACATTCTTGATTAAATTATCTTTCCATTGATATATAATTTTATGGTACTACTAGTTATGGTAAAGTAGCTAGTTATTAGCTACTTTTAGAAAATACACTTTTCTCAAAAGGTTTCCATAATTTTGGCCACTACTGTATTCCGTTTTCTATTTCCATGTGCCCTGCTGTTGCTTGATATTTTGATTGCTATTTCAAGGATTGCTCTAATTCACTTTTTGAATAGGGTAGCTTGTATGAGTAGAGATGACGTGAAAAGCAGGCAACACATATATTCATTGAAGGAATGAAGTCACCTTGTAATGGAGATCAGCGACATAACGACTTAATAAGCAAATATATAACTGGGAATGTCTGTAGGGTGCAAGCATGTTGAAAGATCTCTCCTTCTAGATAAATCCTGTATGCAGACCCTCAAAGGATGTGCTTGAAAGTGTCTCTTTAACAACTTGCAAACTTGCTTTTAACTCCTTGGTTTGCAGAGTAAATGAGCCAAGATTCTTTTTTTGTAGGCAAAAAACAAAGCCTTCCTAAATTAGGGATTTGCTATGAACAAATGATAGGGGACATGGTGGCTCAGTGGCTAAGACACTGAGCTTGTTGATCGAAAGGTCGGCAGTTCAACAGTTCGAATCCCTAGTGCCGCGTAATAGGGTGAGCTCCCGTGACTTGTCCCAGCTTCTGCCAACCTAGCAGTTCGAAAGCACGTAAAAAAAATGCAAGTAGAAAAAATAGGGACCACCTTTGGTGGGAAGGTAACAGCGTTTCATGTGCCTTTGGCATTTAGTCATGCTGGCCACATGACCACGGAGATGTCTTCAGACAGCACTGGCTCTTTGGCTTTGAAACAGAGATGAGCACTGCCCCTAGAGTTGGGAACGACTAGCACATATGTGCAAGGGGAACCTTTACCTATGAACAAATGGGACCATTCAAAGTCTTTCACCATTTCTGCAACAAATATTAGGTCCAAACTGGCCTAGGGTTCTTGTTACAATATGCTAAATTTTTGAAATGAATCCAACTTCACTTTCAGAGAATTAGAAATATCAGCTGGAAATAGTAAACATCTTAAATGTGTAGCCACTTGTTTTCCAACTAGCTATTTTAAAAGCTGCAACCATAAACATGTATAGAAATAGAAAACAAAGCATTTGTGGCACAATTATATGTGGGCTGCAAAGTACCAAAAAAAAAAAAAAAACCAACCCTGAACAGAAATATCCTGTTTTCCCACAAAATAAGACATCCCCTGATAATAAACCCAATTGGGCTTTTGAGCACATGGCAATAAGGCCAAGCGCTTATTTCAGGGTTCAAAAAAATATAAGACAGGGTCTTATTATTGGGGAAACATGGTAAGATTGAAACTATTTTCTCTGGTTGATAAGATATGGTCTAGATTTTTGTGTACAAGACAGAGAAATCTTCTTACAAATTTCCTCCTACTTAGTGTTCTCATTATTATTCCTGTACAGTGATACAGAAGGAGAAAGATACAGAAGGAGGATGGATTCGAGAAACCACACCGAGTTTGTTCTTAAAGGTTTGGCAGAGACCAGGGAACTGCAAGTCTTGTTCTGTGTCATCCTCTTGATCTTCTATGTCATTATTTTTCCTGGTAATATCCTCATCATTGTGACTATTTTGAAAGACCCCCAATTAGGAGCTCCCGCCGGTTTTACTACCGGTTCTGTAGAACTGGTGCGAACTGGGGGCAACCCACCACTGCTCTCCCTTTCCCCCAGCCTAGGAAGGATAGGATCCTTCATCCTATCCTTACTTTCCGACCTTTCCCCACCCAAGAAAAAACCCTCATTCCTCCTCTCACACTCCCTCTCTCCCCTCCTCTTCTCACCAAAACCTCCTTTTTTATTCCTTCTCTTCCCCCCACCCCTGCTAGATTGATGTATCATATAAACCATGTTTTGCCTCTTCACCTGTAAGAGACTTCTGCCACCTTGAGATCTTGGCAAATACAATAGATCAATATCACTTTTTAGGTGCAGAGCATGGTGCATTGTTATTAGTCTCTTGTGTTTCAATCCAAGTTATCAAATTTTAGCCGAGTCCAATCACTTAATCCATCTGAGTATCTTATTACAGGCATTGCCTGTGTTAATTGCCTTTATGATATTTCCTCTACTCAGCTTTCATCTCAAGACTTTCTGAACTTCTTTTATGTATTTTGTTGAAGTAGCTTCCTTGACTTGGTTGTGCAATAGGTCAGAGGCTTCCAAAAGTCATAAGTACTTGTATCCTTCTTCCGGTATTATTACTTTTATCAACTCTTCATTATCAAGTTCAAATCCATCATCTTCAACCATTTTTCCTGCCTTAACAGCAATTGTTGACATTTGTCAATGCCAAAATGCATTTCAATGTCTCTGCCAAGTTCCTCACTGCTTTTCAGCAGTGAGTTCAATTCAGCTTTTGTTTTTCCAAACAATTTTAAATCATCCATGTAGAGCAAATGGGAAATTATCAACCCTTCTTTAGCCAATTCATAGCCACAGTTTGTCTTGTTCAAAATGCTTGTTAGTGATGCCATTGAAAGTACAGTAGCAGAGTCACCTTGGAAGATTTCTCTTTGATTTCAACTTCACCAAGTTCTTCCACACAGGCCATCAACTTGGTTTGCTATAACTTCATGGAAGTCTTCGGGAATTTCTGGATGTTAGTGCTAATTCCAAAAATGTCTAAGCATTTCTCAGTCCAGCTGGGTGGACAGAATCAAATGCTTTGAGACTCTAGAAAAAGTGCAGAGGAGAGCAACCAGGATGATTAGGGGACTGAAGAAAAAAACATATGAAGAATGGTTACAGGAACAGGGCATGGCTAGTCTAGTGAAGAGAAGGACCAGGAGAGACATGATAGCAGTGTTCCAATACTTGAGGGGTTGCCACAGAGAGGAAGGGGTCAAGCTATTTTCTAAAGCACCTGAAGACCAGACAAGGAATAATGGATGGAAACTGACCAAGGAGAGATTCAACCTAGAAAAACGGAGAACTTTCTGACAGTGAGAACAATCAACCAATGGAACAGAAGTGCCTTCAGAAGTTGTGGGAGCTTCATCACTTGAGACTTTCAAGAAAAGATTGGACTGCCATTTGTCAGAAATGGTATAGGGTCTCCTGCTTGAGCGGGGGGTTGGACTAGATGACCTATAAGGTCCCTTCCAACTCTGTTAATCTGTTAATCTGTTAAATCTGCTTTCTTATAGTCAATCCAGGCCATGACCAATTTTGTTTGTCTTTTCTTTGAATTCTTCAAAACCAGTTTATCAATCATCAGTTGGTCTTTGGTTCCTCTTGAATTTTTGCAGCACCCTTTCTGTTCTACAGGCAGCAAACCCTTGTTTTCCAAGTATCCATAAATCTGGTTTGCAATAATGCCTGTAAGTAATTAGTATGTTGTCAACAGGCAAGTTATTGGCCTGTAATTTTCAGGTTTATTTCCGTTTTGTGCATCCTTCTGAATCAAAAAAGTTCTTCCGGTTGTTAACCATTTTTTATTTTCTGGTGTTTTCAGAACCTGATTCATCTGGTTTGCTAATCTTGCATGCAAACTTGTTAGTGATATCAAAAAAAAAATCCATCTAAACTAGGGGCACAGGTGGCACATTGGTTAGAATGCAGTATTGCTAGCAAAATCTGCTCACAGTCAGGAGTTTGATCCTCACCAGCTCAGGGTTGACTCAGCCTTCCGTTCTTCCAATGATAATAAAATGAGGACCCCAGATTGTTGGGGGCAATATGCTGACGTTGTAATTCATACAGAGAATACTTTAAAACACTATGGAATGCTATATAAATCTAAGTGCTATTGCTAGCTCCAAATTCTTCAAAAAAAGGAAACTCTAGACATACAGGTTGCTCATCCCTGTTCCATAAGGAAGGGCGACTATTCCTGAATCATTTGCAAGTCTTGAGAAACCAATTGCTGGATTAGGCACAAAGCTGAATGATGGCAGTTGCAACCAATATATCTATTTGTCTCCTAGACATTTCCATAAGTGCCTCGTGCATGGTCTCTTCATCATCACTTTTTCTTCTCCCACTTAGTCCTTCCTTTCTTCCTTTAAGATATACCTCTTTGGTGTGGAGAAAGAAAAATGGGAAGCATTGGCCAGTGCTATGACAGCAACAGCACTTAGACTTATATATCGCTTCACAATGCTTTTACAGCCCTCTCTAAGCAGTTTACAGAGTCAGCATATGGTCCCCAAAAATCTGGGTCCTCATTTTACCTACCTCAGAAGGATGGAAGGCTGAGTCAACCTTGAGCCTGGTAAGATTCTATCTGCCAAATTGCAGGTAGCCAGCAGTCAGCAGAAGTAGCCTGCAGTACTCCACTCTAACCACTGCACCACCACAGCTCTTAGATCATAAGATTAGAAAAAAATATCCATGAAACAGTTCAAGAAATAGGCTGCTTGGCTTTCTCTGCAAGATGTGGCATCATTAGATAGATAGATAGATAGATAGATAGATAGATAGATAGATAGATAGAAAGAAAGAAAGAAAGAAAGAAGAAAGATAAAGAAAAAGAAAGAAAGAAAGAAAGAAAGAAAGAAAGAAAGAAAGAAAGAAATTATTAGGGACTGTTTTGAGAAACAGAGCACTTAATAGAAATAGACTTTGTGAAGCCAACACTCTCTCGACTGAGTGGACTATAATTCCCATCATCTTACCATTACATGAAGAGATGGACCTTCAGATTTAAGACATCTGCAAAGTGCATGCTTGGAGAAATCTTGTCAAATGAATAAACTTATAAAAATAAAAAAAACCAAAAAAAAAAACCCAAACCAAATGAATAAACTTAATGCAAAATTGCTTTTCAAAAAAGTTTGTCTGAGGTGAACTTTTTAATTTGGTCCCTGAAGACCTGCAGAAGGAATTGTACACAAGTGCCCAGCTTATCCAGGGATGCCCACAATCTTCTAGCTTGCTCAAAGGAGGAGTAATATACTTGTGGAGATGAATAGTTATTCAATAATTACAAACAGAAGTGGTAAATGACCTTCTTACCATCCTCTTCTTTCTTCTCTTCCCAAAATGCATCCAACTCCCTATCTCACCCACTATTCTTAACCTTAGGAAAAATGTGAGCAAAAGGTTGACCTAGGAATTCACTTCCTATAAATAATCCCTAATTGTGGTCTAACTGTCCTTTATTATTTTCTTTTCCTGTATTTCATTTTTCTCCCATCACAGAAGAATGGATTGGTTTATTGAAGCCACTATCGCATTTTTAAATTCACCTTGGAATATTCACTCTTTTCAACCTTTTAAAGGACAAAGATTTCTATGAGACAGAAATGCAATGCACAGAAAACATCTCATAGAACCTGGGCACATTTAATATTAGACTAATAATTTTCGATCTCCAAATTCAGGAAGAAGAAACAAATCAACAACCAAGGGCATTGATATCTGTAAAATAGGTTTACTACTATACAATTGTTGTCTGTCTCCTTGTGACTAAATGGATAGACTCTTAGAGGTTTCTGGTGCTTCTGCTATCACCATAAAATTGTTTCTGAGTTCAGAAAGTTTGTTTTATGGAAATAGATGCATTTGATGGGAGACTGCAAAAGCAGGCAGTTAGTAACAATATCTGAATAGAATAGAATAGAATAGAATAGAATAGAATATAGAATAGAATAGAATAGAATAGAATAGAATAGAATAGAATAGAACTTTTTATTGGCCAAGTGTGATTGGACACACAAGGAATTTGTCTTGGTGCATATGCTCTCAGTGTACATAAAACAAAAGATACATTCATCAAGAGTCATAAGGTACTTCTCCTCCACCCAGAAATGTACACTTAGTTGCAGTTTAATGTCAAAAATCTCCCACACTCCAAATTTCCATGTTTGCATCCCAGTTCTTTTTCTCCAGTTCCACTGCAAACCTCATTCTAAGATTGGGAGGGAGGGAGGGAAGGAAAAAGCAATGAAAGAGACTCCCAACTTTGAAGGGGTATTTTCTGTCCTTGGTCTGACTGGTGATTACTGAGAGATAACCTGGGGTAGCTAGTCAACCGCCAATTTAAAAAAGATGACCAACCAACAATCCATAATATAATTCCTACTAGAAATTGCATTGTAGGAAACAAGCAAAGTGAGAAAGAGAACATCAGGGACAACATCTGAAAAAACTTAAGGTAAGGCTTGGTGCATTACTACTTTTAACAGCAATTTTGTCTGATATCATTCCATTTTCTCTTTCTCTGTGCACTGCTGTTGTTTGATAGTTTAACTTGCATTTCAGAGATTGCTCTAATTCACATTATGAGTAGGGTAGCTTTTTATGGGTAGGGCTGACTTGAGAAACAGGCAATGCATCTCTTCAATGAAGGGATGGATATATTTTACATAAAACTGAGAAGGCCCATAGGGCACAATGACTTTGAAATATCTTTCTAGATAAATCCTGTAAGTAGAGCCCCAAAAGATGTGTTTCAAACCAAGTACCTCTTCAACAAGTTTTAAGCTCCATTTTAACTCCTCAATTTTCAGAATAAATGAGTCAAAGTTCTTCATTATAGGAGAAAACGATGACTTCTCAGATTGGGAATTTGTGGTGAACAAGGAGACCATTCAAAGACTTTGATCATTTTAGCAATAGACATCGGGTCCTACCTGTCCGATACAGAAT